GTGAATTTGGACGTTAAAATGGATTTTAAAGAGAAAGAGAGGGGTCATTGAAGATCACGGAGTTGAGCCTTTTGTCATCCAGTTTCTTCAGAAAGAGAGACACGAAGAAACGATAAAGCTGATAAATGAAAATGAGGTCGAAAATTTTAATTCATCATGCGATTAATTGATTTACTGTTTATCGCGACAGGCCTACGTCCACTTTGAGACAGATTTGAGTCTGCCTTGGGTATGCACGGACCTCCGCAGAGTGAAGTACGCCTGAGTATGTGGGAGCCATTACACTATCAGAACCTCTTACAAGCATTGTTTTTACCATTGATGTGGGGCGAAGAGGGGGACTTGGAAATACCCTCCTGAATATCAGTGTTGTGAGCATGATAATTTGAAAATATATATATATCAAAATATACGATATATAAACCGACCACTCCGATCATTTGAGACAACTATGTTTTCTAGCTTTTATTTTGTTTCGTTAAGAGCAGAGTTTCCTCAAATTGGGGTGGCCCTTAGTTAATCAATGGTAGCCCAAGGCCACTATTGCCCCACCACCACTTCAGCTCCACCACTGCACCTGATGGCGGATAGAATCGTTAAAAATAAAAACCTCCCTCTGTTCTCCTCCACAGTGAAACTCCTCCCCGCTTATCATTAAGGTTTACTTCATTGTCTGTTCAATTCCAGTCCAGAAAAACATCTCCAAAACTACAAAACATTCACCTTTCCAATTCCTCAGAGACGGCGGACATCGGAACACCGCTTGTTCATTAGGTAAATAATTAGACGGCAAACTCTCCTGGCTAAAATGGTCCTGGTCCTTGTTAGGTACGGCTTCATAAATTGTTTCAAGCAGAAGCGTTTCAGCTCTGAGACGTGCAGTAGGTGTTAGTACAGGACCAAGAGCAACCAAAACAGCTTGAGGGAGCCAAGTCTTCCCTTCTCCGGCTGATTATTACCGCCCACGCAAAACCATCCATGCAGAAGGGAACTTGTGTTTTGTTTTGACGTCGGATGAAAAGGAGGAGCGAGTTTATGGATTCGAACATCGCCTGCAGCTTCGTTCTGCAACTAAGGCTCTAATTACAGATGAAAAAATCTTTCAATTAGGATCAGCATTGATGTTAACGTTCTCTCTTTCAGACGTCATAAAACGTTTTCTAAAGAGAGGCATCTTGCAGCCAGAATATGAGCTGTCTTTAAAAATTAACGTGAAAGACACTCGATATGCAAGAATGGACATCTACGGTAAAGTGTTTGGGTGTTTTGGTCTAATAGAAGCCAATGAGTGTTTGGGGTTACAAAGAAACACCTGCTGGGAGAAGTTCTCATTGGATGAATGTGCAAAATGAAATATGAAGTGAAAGACATAAGATGGACGCGTCTCTGCAATTTCTGAGTGTTCGGCCGGCCTCGGCAGATTCATCATGTTTACATACAATTAGAGTCTGACTCATCTAAAGCAGACAGACACGCATTCCCACAGCACATTTTATAATATCTGATAATCCAACAGGCCGCTGTATCTGTGCATGAAGCTGTGTTGAAACAACTTCCAGAATGTGTTCCTGCAGACGCTGAGAAAATGAACGTCTGAAGAGGAACCATGTCCACATCAGACCATTCTGTTGGAACACATGCTGAAAATCAATTTCACACTGAACGTTACCTCTGAGATCTTTATTTGTTTCAACTAAACACAGACAACAAAACTGTATTTTATGTCAACTTTTCTACTAATTCTGCTTATTTTCATCACTGATAACCCCTAAAGTCCAACAAGCGTGTTTTATCACTGGTTGCATTAATTAAAGCAGAACGTAACAAAATAAACACTTCTTTCTACAGCTGATTTATAATTGGGCTTTTAAAGTTACAAACAATTACTGTAGGTATTACATTAATTCCTCCCAACTTCATTGATTTATACTTTATAAGACTTTGAGAACTTTGTTGTCATTGACATGGTTAAGTGACAAAAAATGCGTCTTTTTGATCTTGCCGGCAGTTTGAGAACTCGTTCCTCTCAGAACTTGTTTCTTGCAGGGGTTTGTATGATTGTTTTGAAGTTTGTGGACGTGTTTCTGTAGAGAAGTAGGTGAACTGATCTTGTTTCCCTTCAACAGGTCAGCTGAGGATCTACTGGCCGAGGCTGTTAGAAAACAGAGCCATCTTTACAACAGGTCCACTTAAACGTATATATGTGGTCAAAGAGCTCGTGGAAGGAGACAGCGTGGAGACACAGGTGCCTCTCCAGTCTCAGCCTAGTGACACGTTTCTCATGTTCGCTTTTTATCGTGCACTTTCTACCGGAAACGGTAGTGTTCTCATGACGTGTGCTGCAGTCGGAGGAACTTAAGAGGAGTTCACACTGAACATCTTACAACCATGTAAGTGAGAATAGATGATTTACACCTTGAGAAATACTCAGCAGCCTAAACCCTGAGCAATGTTGGATTTACTGTACTTTGGATCTATTGTACTTTGGATCTATTGTACTTTGAATTTAATGTACTTTGAATTTACTGTACTTTAAATTTACTGTACTTTGAATGTATTTTACTTTGTATCTACTGTCCTTTGAATTTACTGTACTTTGAATTTACAGTACTTTTCATTTACTGTACTTTGGATTTACTGTACTTTGAATCTATTTTACTTTGGATCTATTGCACTTTGAATCTATTACTTTGGATTCACTGTATTTTGAATTTATTGTACTTTGTATTTACTCTACTTTGGATCTATTGTATTATGAATTTACTGTACTTTGGATTTACTGTACTTTGGATTTTTTTGTACTTTGGATGTAGGAGAGAAACTTGACTTTTCCTGCCCATGAAGAGTTGTATTATTTGTTTAGCCTCAATAAACACCAACCAGAACTTTTTGGTATATTTTCCATTTCAACAAGAAAACCAGGCTTCCTAGAAGTTTTTGTATTATTTGCTTTAAAGACGAAAGTTAGAAATTCTGATTTCCTTTAATCAAATGACCAATGAATTCTCAGAAACTGCCGTCACAAACTAACCAGCAGTTTAAAGTGAACCAATTTAAAAACATGAATAAACACTCAGAAAAATGGACCGACAGTAGAACTGACGATCTATGATGGGGTTACGACTGTCTTATCTAGCAGTTTGAATTCAGACTTTAATGACAAGAGAATACAAAAAGGTGAATTAATTAACATCAGTGGGCAAACTGCAGATGAGGAACAGCCATTGCTTTCATTTGTATGAGTTTCAGTGTGTGTTGGTCTGAGCTGTTTTAATTTAAAAATAAAATGGTTATAGGGTTTTTAAATGTGACATCTCCTGCAACAAAACGAGCTGAAAAGTCCAGTTAGATAATTGTGCTGTGGCACTGAACTGTAATTCTTTTAAAGATAAAAGTACATTCTTTAAAATATATTTACAACTGATTTTATCTCAAACGTGACAAACTCTGAGACCTCTAAAGACCAAATAATTTCAGGTTAAACACACATGGACAACTGTTTGCAATCTAATCTAAATAATTTTCTATACTTTTGTTCCAACTTGACATCAGAGCTAAGAAAAATGAGACGTTAATGAGAGAAACTTGCACCACAGGTTGTTGTGTATTTTTGAGAGCGCCACCAAGTGCCAGCAAACGATTTAACAACTAAAAGCACGTTGACGAAGAGTGAACGTAAAACTGATTTCTGGATCTGGTTCTGCTGTAATTAGACCAAAGCAACAATAAATTGATAATTGACATTAAAAAGCTCTGACGATGTGTGAAAAAGAAAAAAAGTCTAGACAGTTTGACTTTGATTCTGTTTCCTCTGAGCCATCAGCCTGCAGATGATGAGTAACATCCCTCCTTTATCTACAATTTGAAAGTAACATGTATTTTTGCACAGAGATTACATAGATTCAAATAATCCCTCAGAAACACATGCCAATTCTGATTGTGACGCTTTGGACCACTTTATAAAGAAATATACAATAGACTCAGGTGAGCACATGTAAAACTCCAAGGAGAAAAAAAAATCACCTTTATAGCAATTATGATGGAATAATTTTATCTCTCGCGGGTTTGTAGATTAAAATTAAACTTGGAATTTTTGCAAGTACATCTCCAAATGTCAACTGATAATATACTCTTCTGCAACATGGCAGAACAACAGCAGTAGTCTGTTCAGAAAAAAAAAAAGAAGTCACATTTAGTGAAAACATCTCACGTAATCTGCTGTTCTGCTGCGGGCTGACATCACCAAGTACAAAATGTCTATCGGCATGAGAGAAGCGGTATCTGATCGAGCAAAGAATGACACAGAAGAAGGTAAAAACAACAAAAACTACTGTAATAATCCAGCCATTGTCCTTAAAGTGTCACTGAAACGGGGGCTGGGCCTCCCCATGACCCGAGGTCAAACTAACGTGACATGCTGCAGCTTGTACGACTCACTACTGAGCAACCGCATTTCAGCCTCCAAGGAGCTGAAATCCAAACAGCTTGCATGCTTCCCCCCCAAAAAAGAGCAGCTTTTGGAGCCAGATGACTTAGAACTGATTCAGGGTTTAAACAGGCAGGAAAGACGCTTCAGAGATGTGAACACTGTCAAAGAGCGTAATGACATGTGGTCTGTGTTAGTTTCAATCAAAACTCGTTTTATTAGCAAGAGCAGTGACCTGTGACAGAACACGTGGGTTATTAACGCGCAGTGATGGAGACTCGCAGGTTTTTAGAGACTGTGACGTCCATAACTCGTTTGAATCGGGTCTTTTTTCTAACCTCCATAAAGTCATGAAGTGCTTCACCTCTCTGTCGCCTCCGAACGATCCGTTCATGTGACAACCTGACAGCCAGCTTGGACAAAACAGGGGGGACACTTCATTTGGCCCCGCGCCTCCTTAAAACCCAAATCCATGACACAAACCTGCCACTTCCTCTGTCACTGCTCCGAGATGATCCGTCTGCCACACAAGTCAACACTTTAACTGAAGAGAAACTCAAACAATTTCATTTACCTGTAGTGGGAATGCCCTCTTTTTGTCCTTTATTGCCTCCTCTCTTTTTCCCTTTCTTTTCTTTCTTCTTGTTCTCTGTCATGCTGTTAGAAAAAAAAGTAAATCCTCTCAGGAAAAGATTGTTATAAAGCACGCACACACACAAAAAAAAAAACGCTAGTCCTTTTGGGAATGTGTTGCAAAAGGGCACCACCAAACTCTGAGCCTGTTGGAGCGTCTCTCCTCCTATAAAAACTTGCACCAATCAAGCAGTCCATGGAACCACCTACTCAGAAACAGGGAGTGAGGAAGGGAACAAAGAGGGAGGAGTGCAGGGAAGCATTGCATGATGGCAATCAACTCCTCTAAGCAGACTCTGAAGGAACAGGGTCTCAGGGAGTCCCTGCTCACATAAATCCCCATGTCCATGCTTCCCAACGGCTCTGCTACGCCTGACCCCTGGCAGCATCTTCTCCCCTCTAATGGCCCGTGCAAAAGTGAACTGAGAGCAGTTAAGCTGTCCCCTTTGCACTGCTGACCCCACCCAGAGAAGTGAGTGGAAGGACCTGCCCTTTGCCAGGATGATGTCGGGGTCCCAGAGCACCTTACATCTGCTTCACATTTGTTGAGTGCGTGTGTGAGGTGCTGAATGTCAGATCACAATCTGTGACAGACTGCTCCCTGCAAAAATTGCACTTCCTCACCTATCGTGTCTGTCGGTACCTGCCTTGGTTCTACGGGCGAGTTCGAACACGTCTCTGGCTGTGGCTCTCTCTTCGCTGTCTCTGTTGGCCACTTGTCAATGGATGTCCGTGCAGAAATAAAACCAGCAGCGCCGAGTTTACACTGACCTGGCCACGTTCCTGCCACTAGAACGTGAAGTTTTTACTCAGCAATCCTTCTCCTTTGAGACACATTTTGAAGAGCGAAAGGAGACGAATAAAACTGGAATAAAACCTTCCCCAAACATGAAACAAGTCTGTGCGTATCCAGTACACACATTTGCATGTAATAACTTAAACTTCCACACAAACACAGCAGCTATTTTTGCCTTTTTCCCTCTTGATGTGGCCCAAACTGGCCCGGCAACATTGCAGTGCCATATCAAAGCAGGATTTTCTAACAGCATGCACTGTGATGCCCTCTTTATTGGCAAAAGATTAATAAAAAAAAAAACAGCAACAGAGTGACTCATTGAAACTTGTAGATGAGTCATGTGTGGGGCCACCCCAAGGTTTGTCTCTCGGAGGATTCTTGATGTTTCTCAGGAGTAGGCGGCAGCAGCAGGGGCGGCACAAGGGTCATGTTTTAACAGGTCAACACCCTCCTCTGTGGGCAGGGAGGTCAACACAAGGCCAAGGCTTCAAAACCAGCCCAAACGGAGGACAAATTGGTCTGCTCCCAGTAGTAGTCCTCCATGATCTAATCTGTCAGCAGAGGCAGCTGAGAGCTGGCAGAGGTGACGGTGTGACGACAGTCCTCTCATACCGCCTCGCGCCGCCCTATCGTGCCCCGGTCTCGACAATCACTTCCTCCTCTCGCTGTTAAACAAGATGGGGCTCGCAACGAAGCTAGCACGCCTGGGTGGGCAGTGCGGTTTATGTGTCATGAATACGATGTCGGGACAAAAAAAAAAGAACAAAAACGTGACTTTCAGGATGACAACATCCAGAATTGTAACGATTCTGGTCAACCTCTTATGTCTATAGCCCACACGTGTCTTCAAGCAAAACCACACAAGGTGCCAAAAAATAAAAAAAGAAGCTTAGCATGACTTTTACTAAATGTGATCACATTTGAAGCATTTGATCATTAGAAGAGGGGTTCAAGGGGAAAATGATAAACCATAAAGATCTTTGAATGACCTGAGTTTGGAGACATAATAATAAATTCTGATACGTTTCAGGAGCTAACGGCTAGTTCAAATTGTGGCCAAGACCGAACAACGCCCTCTTCAAGAGTTTGACAATGATTAGTGCAAAGATTAAATCATAACTCTTTGTGAAGCCATCAGTATCACATAACACAGTTATTCCTGTAGAAATATAAAACAAGCATCCTCAAAGGCATTCATACAATTAAACTTAATCTTAGTTAACAAGCTGTGCCCCGATGTTCCCGTCTCTGGAGGGTTTGAATAGTGAACGTTTGTAGTTTCTACGATGAATGCTTTTCTGGACTGGATTTGAACAAAGAACGAAAGTAAACCTAAATGTTTTTGGTGAAAGATATTCACGTGGGGAGGAGTTACACTGTGAAGAAGAACAGAAGGAGGTTTTCTTTATTTTTTTTTTCAGAGTGACGGATACTGGAGTAGAGGGAGCAATTTTATCCACCACCAGGTGCAGCGGAGGAGTCAGGGGGTTGCCAGTGGTGGCCTTGGCCCCACAGACTGGGCCATGGCCCAGTCATTTGAAGAAACTATACTTTTAAGCAATTTAAAGACTAGAAAGCATGTCTCATTAAATGACAGGGGTGGTGGCCATCTTGGATTTTGACATGGTAACCAAATTTTTTATATTTTTCTTACACTTCCATGCAGCCACACATCAAACTGGAAGTCGGCACCTCACTTAATTTTGAAGTTATTCACACATCATGCACGGACAGATGGACAGTAGGAATGCGCGATATAAATGGTAGAAATTTAGCCTATGATAGAGATCTGTCTTCTACCGGCTCAGAAAAATCAGAGTTGTCAGTTTAATCGTTACTTTTGTTTGTTGAAAACTGTGCATAAGTGGTGTTCAAGGGTAAAATCAGAGCTGTCAGATTTAATAGTTACTTTTTTTTTAGCTAAAAACTGTGCGAAAGTGGCATTAAAGTCTTTTTTTCGAGAGCTAAGTAGCGAAACTACAAGCTAACTACAGCCGGTTTGCCGTAGTGTTGACGTATTCTGACGCATGCGCAAAATGCTGTGTTCCATCGGAAGTTTTTTTTTTTCCATCCAAAGTTAAAGTAAGCGTTGGTCAGCTTTAGAGAAACCTGCTCTCTGATCTGTAAAAAGAACGCTGTGTTGTGTGATTTTACTGCGAGACCCTCTGGTCGAAGCCACAGACTCATTTTGTGTCAGATCTCCATTAAAGCAGAAGGAGTCGCCCACTAGAGGTTTGGAGGGTGAAGTGTTTCAGTGTAAAATGCTGCTCTGTTGCTGTTCATTTCTTAAGACTGGAAACTGTTAAGAGTTAACAACATATTTTTTTGTTTAAAACATAAGGCTAAAACTACATTTTATATATTTTGCACTGTTTTGCACTACAAGAAAGAAGCCTAATACTTGATTTGTTTATTTAAAAATTCTCTGGACCTAGTAGTGGAATTTTCTTAATTCAAAATATATGATGGCAAAAGGACACTCTATGCTTTTTTTTAGCAAGTCTTATACCAAAAACATATTGCGATATATATAGTTATTGCCACCCTTCACAATACATATCGTGATATGAATTTTATGCCATATCACACATTCCTAATGGACAGATGTTATTCAACTCCCCTGCTTTGCTTCACAACAGGGCACAACAAAGTATGTAGTGGGGATGACTCTCAGCTACTACCACCCCAAATTTTAGTTCAACAGTTGTCCAATAGACAGTCATAGGCATGTGGGGTTCAGAATGACTAGTTGTGGTAGCCATCTTGATTTGAGTTGACCCTGAAAATTAATCATTTTTTGATGTACAGGCAACAGTTGCGTTCTGATAGTTTTAGTGACATCTGTCCAGTGGTTCATGAGATATTCTGTTAACAGACAGCCAAACAAACAGACACACATACACGCACACAAATATACATGTAAACAAATACAGGCAAATACAAAACTGCTTGCCTTTCCTGCTAGGTTGTGATATTTCTGGTATTCCTACCAGAAGTGCTACAGGTTGCATTGGAAGTGCTAGCAAAATGCTGCCGTTGCTACTTGTTTTTGCAAGCAAACACAGAATATAATGTAGCAGACTGTGTGATCACCATTGATGGCAACTTGAGGTTTATAAATTATTGCTATGAAAGCTTGTTTTAAGACTCCAGCGACCCGCTTTAGTCGCGAAGGAGGCGTTCATTCGTAAATCCAGTCAGTATCAAACTTTATTTCTTCAAATAGAGGTCAATCAAAGAGCTGACTGCAACAGGTAAGATATTCATTATTCAGTAACTTCCCACAAAATTCCATTTAAAAAGATCTGAACTATTAATTTAAAATGCATGTCAGGAGTGACCACAGCTGCACCTCATTAGATCTGCAGAGCTAAATAAATCATCCAATGAAGCATGAGCACACATGAAAGGAACGAAAAAGGTTGAACGTTGAAAAAGTACTGAAACATTTTATTTTGTCCAGACAAAACTGTGCGATTAGTTCAGAAAGTGGTTTAGCTTTGTCAGCCCAAAAACAAATGCAGCCTCTGAAACGTGCTGTTGTGGTAAAGTTACAAGAAAGAGAACAGAAGCTGAAAGCAGGTAAATCATAGCTAAAGGTTTTAATGAGCAAAATTATTCCTGAAAACAAGACCAGAGCTAAAAAAATAAAATCAGTAAAACTCTAGTTAAAAGGCTAAATGCAGTAAAACTGCAGCTGGGAACTAAAGATAAGTAGCAATAAAGCTAAAATTAGCAACATATTAGCTAAAAGCTAAACTTATCAACATGGTTACTAATTTGCAGTGGTGTAGTCTACGCGATACGCAAGTATACGGAGTATACCCACTAGAAAAGCTTAAGAATTTGAGTATAACCACTTAAAAGTTCCCAACGATACATGACATATCACTAGGCATGTGTCATTGATACATTAAACAGTAGTTAAATGCTTCTGTAGTAATCTGTCGGTATGCAGCGCTTGTTTATTACATTCACTTATCCAGCAAATTATTGTATAATTAATACTTCTGTATTTACTACTTAATTCTTGAACATGTTTTGCTTTGATAATGTTTTATAAATTCTAAATGTTTTAATACAAAACTGTTGTACAAAGTTTGCTGTTCATGTATTCAAATATATGCATCAGAGAAATTTGGAAATGTTAAATATGCTTAAAAAGCTAAATAAATTGATGATTACATTGTATTGTTTCTAAACACAATATATGGACCGACCACGGTAAAGTTAGCTTTACGCTGGACGTTAGACATTCGCATTCCGTGGCTTCATTGGTGTCCAAGGTAATACTAACTTTACAGCGGTATAACCACTACAAAAAAGTAGACTACACCACTGCTAATTTGCTTTAGTTAA